CTACCAAGTGAGTTCCAGGAAAGGCGCAAAGCTACACAGAGAAACCCTGTCTCGAAAAAAAAAAAAAAAAAAAAAAAAAAAAAAAGAAAAAAAGAAATTCAGATAATCAAAGCATGACTTTAAAATATCAAGTTTCCTATAATTGCCCAATATCTTAGAATAATAGGTGTGATTTTTTAAGCTCAGACTAGTAAACAAGAGCAAAATAGGAAGCACAATGACACCTCACTTCGGCCTCTAATTCTGAGGCCCATTTCCACAAAGGCTCTCTGGATTCCAGGCGTGCCTGGGTAATTCCCCCCGCACCACGGAGATTACCATGATTAACGCTGGTCCATACGGTAAAACTGAAATACAAAAGCCGCAGGGATGCCAGGCCCCACGAAGGGTCCCTTCGGGGCTGGAGCAACTCACCCAAGCCCTTGCTTATTAGTGTGGCCACTCGCCCAGTGCACGGGGTAAGACAGGGATGTCACCTAACAGAGAAGTTACATAATAATGCTAGTGTGGAGCTCCCATAGAGGAGTCCGAGCCTTAGAATGAAAGAGAAGTGTATGCCCTGGGAAGTATTCCACAAAGAATGTCGGGGGGTTCTCTGTGAGGCACTCGGTTACCCCAAACTAAGCAAGTGAAGTAAACTAGCTCAGGACAGAGGCCGTGTCCAGCTGAATTTGCGATTTGGCCAGGCACCTGCCGAAGAAAGCTTCTAGGACCGGACACGGGCCCGCGCTTCCCCGGGGAAGAGAGCCTTCCTTGCTCGGTGTCCGGTGTTGGGCAAACTCCCTCCCTGGAGTCCCGCCGCCTCTCTCTTTAGGGTCAAACATCTCCTGCAAGCCTCGGACCCTGGGCTCTCTTTCTCCTCCCCACAGTGAAACCAACCTCTCCTCCCACTCGGCTGGAATTCTGAAAGAAGCCACGCCGGGCCTCCCGCTTTGGGGTCCCCCATCTTCTCTGGACCAGGCTCCCCACCGTCCCCGCCCCACCCCGGCCCCCAGGATGCGGAAGGAGGTGAGTGATTAGGCTGCCGGCCAGGAGGGCCAGGAGTGTCCCCACACCTGTCACCTGGCCCACCTGGGCCCTCCCTGCCCGCCCCCCTTCCCCGGCCCCACCCACCTTCCCGCCGACGAGCCACCGCCCTCCCCGGCCTCCAGCCACGGTCCAATGGCCGTGGGGCAGGGCACGCTGAGCCAGCCGCGGCGCCCCGGCCGCGTCCCCGCCCTGTTCCCGGTCCCCGGTTCCCGAGCCGGGCTCTGCCGCCTTTAAATGCCACCCCGGGCCGACGCACTGCGGCCCT